CGGGGCTGCGCGTAATGGTTTTTCTAGGTTCCCGCAGAAGAAAGGTGACAGGGTTGCTCCGCCCGGGCTAGCCCATTCCCCTCTCAGCCGAGGGGCCCCAGGGACGTGCCAGGCACGCACCTGCAAGGGGCGACTGGGTTCCAGGGCTGCGGCTCTTCCCTGGCCTAAGCTCTCCAATTTGTGTCTTCAGGGGCCAGAGCCCCCTGGCTTCCTCTTGGCACCCCAAGCCAAAGAGAAGGAAAGGATCCCGAAATATTCGGCTAGGCGTGCCAGACATTAGGGATGCGTGCGCTGGATCGGAGGACCAGGATCTACATTTTAGGGAAATGTCGGGATTCTGGTGGTTATGGTTTTGGGGACCAGGGTGGAGAGATTTGGGGTGGTGAATGGTCTTTACAACATCCAGCCAGATCAGGTAGGGGATAGAGACGCAGGTACAAAAAGGGTGCGTCCTATCCGGGCCACGGGGAAACTGGCGTCGAATGTTCCTGCTACCCACTGAGCTCTGGAATGTAACTGACAGGCTGCTGTGGTTGAAAGGGCGCGTCCAAAGCACATAGGGGGCCAGTGCCCTGCCCTCTGCCGGACCTGAAGCCCCCCACACCCCCCAGAGGAAAATGTGGCTAGCTGGAACCACATCCCAGGGGCCCCGAGCCTGTTGCGTCTCAGACCTCTTGAGAGACCTCGTACTGTGCCTTACCTCTGCCCAGTACCCCATCCAAACTCGGGCCCCAGATTTCGTGCCTTACACACACTCCAAGATCAGATTCACCCTTTTCTCTGTTCTTAAGAACGGGAAACAAACGAATCGGATTTTCCCCCCTTTGGAAAAAATATCTGTTCAATGTCCTTTGTTGCTTAAATTGTCCTTAGAATTTTTTTTTTTTAAACTTCATTTGAAAAAAAAAGTTGATGTGTTCCTTAAACCTTGTTTCTCTTTAAACCATCCCCTAAGATAATGCAGCCTGTTACCGAAGAGGTTTTTCTGGGGCGAAAACAGCAAAATGGAATGGGAGGGAGGACGCAGACTGGGACTCTCTCATTTTAAATCCCATTACTGGCTTTGAGAAGAAACACACACACACACACACACACACACACACACACACACACACACACACACAGAAAGAAAAAAAAGAAAAAAAAATCAGGAAAAGCTAGTTCGTCCCCTACTGATTTCCCTCACTTCAAAGATTTCCCTCGCCCCTTAAATCAGAAATATTATGGCACTAGGTATTTCTCAAGGAAAAAAATGCACACTTTTTTTCCTGAATATGTATACAATATAGGTTCCTTTTTACGTTTCTCAGCAAAAGAAAAAAAGGGTGTGTGTGAGGCACTCAATTCCCTCGCCATTAAACAAGCCATGCCTGCAAGAAATGCAAGCACGGGAGGATTGCTCAGCCACGCATCCCTCCATTAGCGCATGCCTGCCTGTCAACAATGCACGTGCCACCATGGGCATCCTCTCCCCAGGCCAGCCCTGGTGGTGCACGCTCACAGCTTTACTCCCCAGACCCCCCACCCCCGCAGCTCTTTTCAGGGCTTCCTTTTCTTCTGCCTGTAGCGGGCAAGCAAGAAGCGTCCATCATTCCCCAAGTTATACGCTCTTGGGAATCCCTAAAGCGAGCGTTGCCAGACCAAGGGGCTCAGCACTGCAGTTGTTCACTTTGTCGAATTGTGATGAGTTAGTTCTGTCTCCTCCTCGCCCACCTCCGGCTTTAGATGTGGTGCAGACTTCTGGTACCAAGGCACACCAGAAGGGAAGCCAGCACACACCAGGAGAGACAGGAAGGGACTCTGTTCCTCCTGCCCTCCCACCACCAAGATTGGACTTCAGATTTCCATTGCAAAGGAATGGAGAAAACTAGGGAATCCAGCTCTATCCCGGCAGCTGACCAATTGCCCTGCATTTTCACAATACCCTAGGTACTGTAAATGAAGGCAGTTTCTAGGATTTATCGCTAGGAACACTTTCAAGAATCCGGCACTCTTAAGTTTGGAGCTAATTCTTTAAAAGTTTTACTTCTGAGAAATAGGAAGAAAGAAAAGAATGAATGAAACATACCCAGGATCCATGTACTGGGGATGACACTCGAGAGTAGGCTGTGGTCTTGTTTGAATTGGGAGTTCAAAAGGAAGAAAAAAAAAAAAACACCAAACCAAAACAACAATAACAACAACAACAAAACAGGACTTGTCCCCCCATCCTTGCCCCAGGGATGAAGCCTCTTTAGATTCCAGAGGCCAATTCGGTTTGATTTTTGAGGTTTGGAGGTTCTGGCAGGGTTAGGGGCAGGCAGGTTGGAACAGACAGATCTCAGCTACCTTTGGACCAGCTGGGCTGCTCTTGGCCCTGGAAGCACAGGTTGGATCAGGGTGATGCACCTTCACCTCGGAGGGAGACCCAGAGGAAGGCAGACCCTGAGTTCTGAGCTCCCATTCATCTTCTTATCTTCTCTATCTCCCACCTGTCTCCTCTCCTCCAAGGATTGGGGGCTGTCAGTCTGAGGCAGGTCTTTTCGTACCCAGAGCTGTTTTTCTTATTGTAACTTTCCAAAAGAACTATCCTCTTATTCTTCTAAATGCCCAGCCGGGGGGGGGGGGTGTCTTTGGGAAGCACATTCTTAAAGGTTCCCCCTACCCCGCACCGTGGACACCTGCACACCCCATAACTCATAGGACCTGGGTGCTAAGACTCTGCAACTTAGTGCTACTGTTAAGCCAAGACAGAAGACTTTGCCATTTTGTTCTTTTCTAGTGAAATACCTTTGGAACAAATTTTGAATTAGGCTTTTGGTCATCTTTCAGGTATGAAAAATATTTTTGATTAAAAGTGTTCTGGGGGGCTGCGTGAGATGGGAGAAAGAAAACATTTGACTAAAAATGTAGAGACAAAGCGAGAAGCTGCACGGCTCCCGTCTCCCCGTGTGCACCCACTCGGGACTGTAGGAGGACAGTTGCCTCCGAGGCAGCGAGGGCCACATTCAAACTTCTTCTTGCTAGGGGCAGCCCAGTCTTTTGCAAAGGAGGAGGAAGTTTTGACCTACAGAGGCTTCTTACTCCCTGGCACACGGAGGACACACTTTCAGATTGGGTACTTAAGACTCTAGTACACAGGGATTTCACGGCGGGGGCAGGGCTAATGAAAGGAGTGACTTGGGATACTCAGAACTATGCCCCACAGCCCTAGGAGTGAACGAGATCTGTCCGGTTTGACTGGGGGTCAAGGGGTGGACTGGGACTAGGGGAGGGAATGGATGGAGCGCCGCACCACGTGCTTGCTGTTTTCTCCTGTTTCCAGCCCCCCTTCCCATCTTCTGCCATTTCCAGAGGCAGGGGAAAGGTGATCTCGGACTTGACCCCTAAGTCACAGCTGCCGGTGGCTGCACCTCGCTCAGGGATGAGCACAGCCCCTTCCCTGGGCTCTGGCAGCTTAACCCTTTCCTCCCCGATAGCTCGGAGGCCCTAGGCGGGTGGCAGCGGCTCTGACTGCTCCGTTGCTAGCAATCTGCCCCCCACAGCTCTGCACCTCGAATCCAGTGCAGAGACCACAAAAGAAAGTCTCACAAAAGGGTGAGATTAAGGGATGTTAGGATCCTGGGTACAAGCGCTGCCAGGGAGCCCAAGGAAGATCGGAGTTAGCGGAATGAGGAGGGATGTTTGGATCGTGTTAACTACTCAGACAGATGCACTTCGGCATGTCTGTATTTATGGAATCCATATGTTGTCGTGGCAAATGAAAAGACGGCAACATGTACATACAATAGATGTAGAATAACAATACACATTTAAAAAGAGACCAAACATTTTTCACTCTTCAGCCCTTCCCTTACATCTTGAGCTAGAGATGTTCAGAGATGCACGCTTTCAACCGCCCCTGCCTCCACACTGAGTTTCAATCCCCCTCCTTTTTTGTTCCTGTGTCCCCAGTCAGCCTGTTGTGGGGGACTCCTGGGGCCCAAAGCTAGGCTCTTTCTAAGAGAAATACACTAGCATGCCCCCACCTCGCCCTCCGTACACTCTTTGCTTCTGACATTGGCCCATTGCATAGTTAGCACTTGGACCAAATAATAGCTACTACAACCTCATACTCTGCAAACTGTAGGGGAACAGATTCATACCCAGATTCAGCATCTACATCCTCTTCATTAAAGCAACATGACTATGTTATATTTGCAAAGAAAAGGCTTCAAACAGACCTGGAAACATAAATCTCCCAGCAAGGGAAAGCCCTTGGATAGCTCTGTACAGTAACTGCATTTGTGCACACCTTGGATATTTGTGTGCACACATATAGTCACACACAGATGGAGAGGCATCTGAAGTCATTCAGATGTTTATTTATGTACCCTTTTATGCATATACTTTTGTTATCTAGAGCCATTCATTTGAGAGAGAGGCAGAAGAGACGTAGATAGCAATGCAGTGTTTAGACCACACTCCACTTCCCCTCCCCACTGGAAAATGCCTTCAAAAACAGGCTGCTCTAAAATTTTCTGCCTGCTTTCCAGTAAATAAAGGATTTAGATTCTGGATTTTCTGCTCCCTTCCCCCATTTTGTATGTAAAATAATCCATATAGATGCTGGATTATCATCTAAAGCATTATTGAATCACACAAGGTTGGTACTTTTCCTTAGAACGAATTCTCCCAGTAAAATTAGCATAAGTATTTACAAGATTAAGCTGACGTTTCCCTATGATTGCAACATGAAATAGATTTATATCCAGAATTTTCCCCCAAATAGGGACTCCCTCCACACATTTGTTTTGTATTTTTTTTAATATAAGAAACAACAGGCTACAAGTTCACTTCTCCTGCTATTTACATTTTAAAAGAAAATAAACACAAGGTATTTAAGTGGTTTTTCAACACCTACAAGGAGAAATTTAATTCTGCTGCATCTCTAAAAAACAAACTAACAGATTTATGAAGATTCCTGAAGACAGGAAAATATGAAGCAAACATACTCCTCAAGGGCTGATCAGTTTCCTTACCTGATGCATTATGGAAAAATTCAGAATTTACCAGTCTTCCTTCAGTCAGCTACATTTTACACTGACCTGTATTTTGGACTGAAAGAAAAAAAAAAAGATTAACTGTTGCCAATGAAAATTTTAAAATAATAATCAGAAACCGGACAAACTGAAGGTAAAAATATACAATAGCTACAATAAAGATAAATATTTATTTAATCAAAGCAGAGGTTGTATTTGGACTGTAGGAATGTTTCATCCTTCCTCCCCCCCTCCCACAAAAAAAAGGGGGAAAAAAAGGCCAGAAAGAAAAAAGCCAGGGTCTTCACACGCTCCTGGAGAGTCCTCATTGTCCAGGGCTATCGAGAGCCCAGAATGGTATTAACCTCACAAAAGACACATTGTGCAGGGGACAAAAAAAGCCCCTTCTTCTACAATAACTTTTAGCTTTTTTATTTTTAGAAAATGACAAAGGTTTTGCAAGCACTGACTGGTGAGACCTGTAGCAAGCCAGGCTGGACTTGGCTTTATTGATCAGCTGTCCGGCTTGGAAAAGCAACCAGGAAAACTTTGAATGGTAACCCAGATTTGGCTCAGAGAGAGGAAACCCCTGATTTTTCTAAATGTATTTTCTTTTTCTCCCCCCATGCCCCGCCTAAATAAAACAGCATTATTCCCAGAGTGAATTCAGCAGGATTAGATGAGGTAACTGCAAAATCCTAAACCGGTTTTCTCCCCCTAGTCTTGGCTAAGAAGCTGCATGGTCTTAAGAGCATTGGAAAAATCTCTCAAAATGAAGAATTACTTTCTAATCAAACAGATTTCCCGATTAATTCCCAAATTCCTTCTTAGATGAATAATCTTGGTAGGCTGGGGCAAAAAAAAAAATACCCCCAAGAAAAATAAGTTTTATGGAGCTCTTTCCCTACCTGGCATTATAAGGCTTGTTTGCAAGTCAGTTAAAGTGCAGATTGCATTTTATTTCATCACAGTGTAATTTCAATGGCACTAGTTCTCATGTAGAACTTACATAAATAACATGCTTGTCATTAAAAAAATATATTCAGTAGTCAGTAGTGCGCTGAAACTGGGGGGAGACAGAGAGGGGGGAGAGGGAGAGAGAGAGAGAGAGAGAGAGAGAGAGAGAGAGAGAGAGAGAGAGAGAAGACTTGTTCTTCCTGCATTTATTTGCTTGCTTTTTGGAAGTACCATACCCCAGCCTAAGTGATAGCTTTGATGTACTGGGACTCTGTAGAGTAGCAGGGTCCCTGGCTGCTGTCTTTGATTCCAGGGATCTCCTTTGGGCTCTGGTGGGATGCGCTGTGCCTAGTCTTTATCTGAAATCCATCCTCTCATTTCAAGCCCTTTGGCTTCAAGACTGCTCCAAACTCTTGGAGGTAGCTGTAAGATTTTTTTTTTCCATTAGGGATGGGGTGCGTTATTTCCCCTTTCTACACTCTAGACCTTTCCTCGATACTTAAACACATAGGCTTTCTTTCTCTTTTTTTTTTTTTTATGAATTTCGTCTGAAATTATTTTTCGCTGCCTTTATTACATCCCTGCTTTTGATGGCAAAATAGCTTCCTGTGTTTTAAAAACATCTGCTTCCCAGGCTTTACACGAGAAAATTGATTTTACTTTTCTCTTAAGACTAGAAAGGTGGAAAGTTGGACTTCTTTTCGAAGGCAACTTTTCCTTTTCTTAAACTCGACCCCCTTCCAGTCCTGACTCACTTTTCTCCTTTCATTTCTTCTAATCCTACCCACCCCCATCCTCTGTCCTTCTGAGGAAGCAGAGGATGCTGACTGCATCGATGTCAGGAAATAAAACGAACATACAGATTTTTGTCTAGCCTATGGTATGTGTTAAAGTTTTCCCCGTATTTTCTTCCTTCATCCTCTGATTTAAGGAGAGTTAATTTTCCTCCGTTTAAAAAAAAAAAAAAATCTCTGATTTGCAATTTAAAGTGGCCTCCATTCCAAGCCTCTGGTCTTTCTCTTAAACCTCTGTTTTAAGCTGTCCCACGCCACTATTGCCCCCCCACCCCACCCCCACTTGAAGATGCTCTTTTCCTACTTAATTTAAGCATTGTTGCATTTTCTAGAAAAAGAAAAGAAAAAGAACGAGAAAAAGAAATTACAAGAAAGAAAAAAAAATCTTTAAAAAAATCTTAGCCAGGTCTCTATTGTTGCTTCGCATTTCACTTCACGGTAGTGTGTGTGTGTGTGTGTGTGTGTGTGTGTGTGTGTGTGTGTGTGTGTATGTGTGCGTGTGTGTCGGGTGTGTGTGTGTATGTGTTTTTAATACATGCATAAACTTTTGGTGCCTTTCTCCCTCTGCCTAGGCTCTTCTCCCATCCTCTCTTCCTGCTCTCCTTGCCCTGCTCATCACTTTCCCCTGGTTTTTTTTTTTTTCCTCCCTTCCTCCCCTCTGCCTCCCTCCACCTCCCCCTTTTCTTTTTTGCTGAATCTTATTGATCCAGAAGGTGGCTAATTAGCCCTTCCCGTCGTGCCTGGGTAATGAAGCACATGCGCACTGAATTAATCACAGCCATTTTTTGCAGGAAACTAATTAGCAGAATAAAGATCCAAAGACTTTTTTTTCTTTTCACTCATCAGCTCCCACTTCCAGCGCGTCCCCTCCGACCGCTGCAGCCGCCGCCGCCGCCGCCGCCTCCTCCTCCTCCTCCTCCCGGCCGCAGCCGCCGCCGCCGCCGCCTGCTTTGCATCCCAATTACAGCCTAGAGCCGCTGCCGCCGCCGCCGCCGCTTCTCCTCCGTGGCCCCTGCCCGCTCCGGGGGCTGTAAACTCCCCGCCAACCATGCTGCTCG